TAATTACCAGCCCTCTCCTTATTGTTTTCTACCAACTTCATGGAGGCGTTTCCTGGTGGGATGAAGTTTTTACTCTGGATGTCTCCCAGCCACGCTTCTGAATAATTTCAGGATCCATATTGAACCATGTTGGACACCCCAGTCACTCTCCTCCTCATCTTCAGGATCTTTTCCACTGCCATCTAGTCTCCCACTTTGACAGGCTTCCCCTGGACCATGCTGTCCCTTAGGGCTGCTTCACCTCTAGATGTCAAACTCACAGGTCCCCAGTCTCTTGACTAGGGCATACCTACCCATCATCACTAGGTTATAATCTATTCCTAAGACACCCACACATCAACTATTTGCCATATTAAGATCACCAACCCCTTGGCAATCTCTCCAGGGTTTCCTTGTTTCACCTCTCCAACATAGGTTCCAACTATCTTTGTGCCAGTGTCCTTGGATTGCATCGTCTTGTCAAACACAATCCAAGACAACTGTCCACCTACACTAGAAACACTTGTGCACCTGGGTGGGAGGGGTAGGGAAATTGTTTACCTAGTTTGATTCTAATCCAAAGTCTTGGTCATCTAAATCAACCTCAATATTTCTTGACAACTGTAAAACTGGATGGATGGATGGATGGATGGATGGATATGAGTGAGCTCTTGCAGAGATGTTGGAGAGAATCTCTAGATCCTCTGCAATGCTTTGGAGATGGATGGCCCATAGAATACTTCCAAAACAGATAGCCTTGATCCTTTAAGGTACGTATCTGTGGTGCTCATAATTCCATGAGCATATGATACTTTCCTGCCTTTGTACCTTTGGCCATCATCAAAAACAAGAAGAAACTTTCCGGGGGAAAGAGTAGGAAAGCTTGAAAATACAATAGATAAGACAAAACGAAATCTCAAGAATGGCTTCTTTTCTGCATCAGAACGATTGCCTGTGATGGAACTAACTATGATACAAGCCACAAAAGTGAACGTGGAAGGTTGGGTGGTTTCAGTCCACCAAGTCCTAACAAATTTCAGTATAGTGTTATTGTCTTATGGTCATTTGGGTGTCATCCATTAATCAACACTCATGGAACACCTTCCATTCGCTAGAAACCGTACTAGGAGCTCATGAAAGAGGAACGACTGAGAATGGTCCTGCTCTCATGGAGCTCATGTTCTACTGACGAAAAAAGGTAATAAAAAATACATTTTAAAAGCTAGCAAGGTAATTTTAGTTAAAGAACTAAATGGCTAGACAGTGAATGAAGATGGGGGAATATCTTGGATTGTGCTGTCAAGGAAGTGATCGCTGAAGAGGTAGCATTTGAGCTGGAAGCTAAATGGGGAGAAATGAACCACCAATATGGAACTCTGAAGCATGGCCTTTCTTCTCACGGTAACAAGATGGCTTCTGAAGCTTTAAGCATCATGAGTTCACATCACAACTTCCAAAGTAGGCCTGTGGGTTCCCTGTTATGAGGAAGAAAAATATTTCCCACAAGCCTCTAGCATGCTTCCCTTCCTGTCCCAATGGCTAAACTAGGTCACATACCTCCTCTCCAGCCAGGAGGCTGGGACTGCAATGATTGGCTGGAGCAGAGTGGCTCTGCTGAGAGCAGGGAGGGGCATCCTTGCTGGAGCATATGCTGCCCCAACCCAAACCAGACGGGCCTGATGTCAGCAGGGTAAGGCAGCCACACCAAAGGCTGAGCCAGGGAGATGTCACTATCCTGGATTAATGGTACACCTAACCATGCACAAGGCACTGTACTATTTAGTATTTGGGATAAAAAGAAAACCTTGAGGCTGAGAGGTAGAGCACTTGCCTAGCATGTGTGAGGCCCCAGTTCCATCCCCAGCATGGAGAAAAGAAGAAGAAAAAAACCTGGACACCCCTTTTCCCATCCCACTCTTATGCTTGAGGACACTCAGCCAAGTGAGCTCTCTTCCCTCCTCCTCCTATTTCCAAACCCTCGGCTTTATGAAGGCTCAGGCCATGCCCACCTGTGCATTCCTGAAGCTTCCTCCTGTCTCCTACAGCCTAGAATCACTTTCCCTTCCTCTCAATTCATACACCACATTTATTCACTTGACACAGTCACTGAACAGCTGGGCCCTGGAAATATAATTTTGCTGAAAAGACACAGTCCCTATCCTCACAGTTTCCATTCTAGTGCCACAGGTTATTAAATAGCCACTTACAAGAAAGAATGAAAAGTGTAACAAGAAGAGAAACACAAGTGCTAAGAGCACCTCAACTTTTCCAAAGGTGGAGTAGCAGGATGGTGGTGAGAGAAGACATATTTTGGAGAAAATGTCATTTAAGTCAAGACATAAAGCATGAATAGAATTTAAGGAAATGAGCATGTGCAAAGGGCCAGGGGTGGGAAGGTGAGTTGGAGGAAAGGAAAGGAAGGCAGTCCAGCATTGCTGCAGAAGAGAATTGAAGGGAAGAAGGAAAAGAAAATTCTTTAATGACAGGTGGAAGCCAAGTCATCATGGGTGGGAAACTCTGGGACTTCATTCTAAGGAAGTAAGTCATGAAGGGTCCGACATGGTTAGGGTTGCATTTTAGAAACAGAGCTCTTACCTCCTTGTTCCCATCTCTTTCCCACATTTCAGCCATGCTACACACAGGATGACCCACAAGGCACTGTGGCAACAGGGTGGACCAGGGCAGAGGCCAAGGTGTGGATAGTGATACCTATACTCCCACCCCCTTCAGAGGGTTCAGTGAATGAAAGGCTGTGCCCTGGTAGGGAGTGTGGTGGTGGGGGGATCAAGGGTGACCAGGCAGTTATGGTTTGCACACCTGGAAGGCTGGTGATGTCCCTCACTGAGCTGCCCAGCACTGGACGGATGCATTTTTATACAAGTTTCGATTGAGCTGCCTCCCACAAGGTACGGAACATTAATTAACCTTTTAAGATTAAGGTTCTTCTCCCACCCCACCTGCTATATATCAAAGCCACTCCCTTCTTATCTTGGATCACACTTCTTTCCAACAGAGCTCTTTTACTTTTCTCATTGGAGTTTTCTGTGGGCTTCAGTTTTCATTACTCCAGGTCCCCTTAGAAGTACCTACTGTGAGCCAGGCACTAACAGCTTCCTCAGCCATCACTAGATAATACAAACCTAAGCCACCCAAGCAGACTTTTGACAATCGGTGATCAATGAATTGCAATTAGTAATTGACACAACTCCAACTTCCCCCCCTCCCCGTTACATCTTTTATTCATTTACAAACCACCCTAGACCCTCATCCCTTTACATTTTAAAGATTAATCACTTGAGACAGCATGACAAGCATGGGGAACGCGTGGCAGTTCTGGATGTCCTCCACGCGGTCTTTCATGTGCGTGCATTATTTACAATACCCAATTTGACTGCTTGAGGTTACCGGGTACTAATTTTATAAGACTGTGTAGCTACATGAAGAGGCCGGGAATATCTGTATCACTCCGTTTTAAGTAGTACCAGGCCTGGATGAAGCATCAAAGTGAGAATGGTGAACTTAAAGAGCCTTTAAAACATCTTGAAGCAATAATAAGCTATAGACTGAAGCAGGAGTGTTTTTAAACATTACGCAGAACTTAAACAATTGAACCAATTTGTCCTTTGTTCTTTTTATTACATTCCTTATTACATTAATACTGCTTAAAAGGAAACTCGAAAAGCATTTGATTCTAGAACCAAGCTACAAAAGTCCTCGAAGGGTCAGGTTTGGATAGAAAGCGCATTTCCGCCGCCCCAGTCGCTCTCGGCGCGTGAAGGCCACTGAGCTCCCTGGCGCTCTGTCCCGGGGAAGCCACGTGAAATAAAAGGTCGCCGGGCTGAGCCCTCGGCCTCGAGTGGGAGGCTCTGACCCAAGTTCGCCAAGTTTTCCGGCCGGGCCCCTGGGAGATGCATGCCTCAGGGGTCTCCTAGCTTTCCAAGAAAAGTCCAGCGAGGCTGGGACCGCCAGCCGGGCCACCCCTCCGCGGGCAGACGATCAAGGGGACCTGGCGCCCCGGGGCACAAAGAAAGCGCGCCAGCGGGGTATGGACTGACCCCTGAAAACCTAGGACCTTCTCAGGTTCGAAAGCTCCTACTTGCCCTTCCTGCCCCAGCTGCAGCTCGGTCTCCCCCGAATCCGATCGCGGGTACCCACTGCTTCACCCGCCGCGGGACCGCGGGGCCCAGCCCTTCCCGCCGCGCCCGGGGCCGCCCTTCCCGCCGGGAGCCGGTGATTGATGGCCCCGGCCGCCCGGGTCCCCCGCCTCGGCTCGCCCGCGAAGCCTGGCTGTATGTTTTGGAAGCGGCGCAGCGGGCTGCAGCCGTGTGACGCCCGGAGCGGGCAGCGCCGCCCTTCCTTCCCCCCGGGCTCGGGCGGCGGCGGGGCCAGGCGGGCGGGGCGCGCGCTCCGGGGCGGAGGGTGCGGGGAGGGGGCGCGGGGCCGGGCGGGGGCCGAGGGCGGAGGACCGGGGCGGGGGCCGCGCCGCGCACGCCCAGCCCCACGGCCGCGCCGCGCCGCGCCGCGCCTCGCGGGACAGGTTCGGCCGGTGGGGCGGCGCCCGGCTCCGGGGAATAATGAGTGTCTGTCAGGCCGTCCCCGGGTGACTGGGCGGGGCGGGGCGGAGGCGGCGCGGGAGGCGGGGGTGGCGGGGGAAGGGCGCAGGGCGGGGTGCGTGTTTGCGCGAGTGACTCGGCCGACCCCTCCGGCGGCTGCCTCCACCCAAGTGGGTGGGGACCCGCCCAGCCCGGGCGGCCGCGGCGGCTCCCTCTCCCCTCCCTGACCCTCCCACCCCGGGTCCCAGCCTCTACTTACCCCGCCAGCCCCGGGAGGCTCGCAGAGCGAGCGGCGCCGGCGTCATGTGACTGCCCGGAGTTGGTGCCAGGAGCCAGAGGGGAGCCAGGAGCGGAGCCGCGCGGAGCCGGGGCCCGAGCCGGAGCGCAGCGCGAGCGCCCGCCGTGCCGAGCTGAACCGCGCCGCGCCCGCCGCACGCGCGCCCGTCCCTGTCCCCGTCCCCTGCGACCGCCGCCGCCAACGCCACCCGGTCTGGAGCGCTGACATTACTGCACTCGCCGGGCGCACGGCGGCGGGGAGCCGGGCCTTTATTTCTCATCGGCTGCGCTCCGCAGCGCGCTTCGCAAAGTAAGTCCCCTCTCCGTCACCTTTTCTGTGCCCCGGCTGCGGCGCCCCTTTTTCCGCCCGGTCTGGCTTCATGTTTGCCGGTGAAGAGGGGAGCGGGGACCGGGTCGAGGTGCAGCGGGGGCGTCTGCGGGCTTGGGAAAGTGCGGCAGCACCTCGCAGCCGGGGGTGGGGGGCGGAGGGAGGGAGGCGAGGGGGAGGGGAACCCCCCCCCGAATTCGCGACCGAAAGTGTGGGACTGGGAAGATTCCGTGCGGATCGTGGAGTGCGGGAAGCGAGGCCGGCGGCGGGCGCTCACCTGTGTGGTCCCCCAGCCGCTGCCCGCCCGCTCGCTCGCTCGCTCGCTCGCGATTCCCTCCAAAGCCCCAGAACCCTCAGTGCTGTCTGCGTGTGGCAGAGTTGTAAGGAGAAAGGTAGCGCCGAGGCCGCGCGCTCCTGCTCCTCCCCCTCCTGCCCACCACCCCCCACCCGGCTCCCGCGTCCTTCCCTCCCCGCCCCCGCCGCCCCCCTCCGCGGACCGGCGCGCGGCGGCTCGCCGGGCAGAGCAAACTTAGAGCAGCCTGCCGTCCCCTCCGGGAAGAAACTTGAGGCAATCGGGACTGGAGGAGCATCCTGGTCTCGGTCCTGGAGCCCGGAGCTTGCCAGGGCTCCTCGGGGCAGGGAACAAGAACCGGCCGGGTTTGCAGAGTCCTCCCGGGGGCATGGAGAGAACCTGCCGCAGTGCCTGGAGCAAGGATTGCTGCGTGGCTGGCGGCGGAGAGCGCCTTCGGCGACTGGTCGCCTGCAGCGGTTAGGGACCTGAGCCAGGAAGGGATCGGAGGACTGCTCCCTGGACCAGGACCCATGGGACCTACCTAACATTTCAGAATGGCTATCTTGGAGATAGATGGCAGATAAGACCTGGAATTGTCATATCCATTTCTTTGGCAGATAACAGGGGAAAACATTAAACTGCTTTGAATTTTGCAGCTGCATACAGTGGTAGTAGATGAAGACTATGAAAGAGACTTATTTTTAATGAGTCAGGTTAAACGGAAATTGGGAATTGCTCACCTTCGTGTATTTCACTGAAATAAACAGTCTACATCGAATCATTGGCCTTTTTTTTTTTTTTTACTAGAAATTTATTTTTCCCATTAATATCACCCAAGACACTTTAAATATATTGATTCTGCATGAATCTGGTGTGGGAGGAGAGGTGTGGAGTGCTGTTCTGAATTCATTTAGATTTAGTACCTAGTTCTTAAGCAAAAAAAGGGGGTGCATAGGCCAGTTGTTCATTCTGAGGGATTTCTGTATGGATTTGAGGAGCATTTGTGTAAGAGAATTCCACGTGGATGAAAGTCTGCCTCACCCTAGGGAAGTCTTGTTTTTAGGCAAAAAAAAAAAAACCCTGTAACTTTAACATGTCCACAATTTTGCAAGTTAGTATTGTTTAAAGAAAATCCTCAAGCATTTTCCTTGGTTTGTGTGTTAGTTGATCTTAGGCTGCTAATAGAAACCTGAAATAAGATGTTAGAGAAACTAATTTCCCAATTTCTAGTCAGTGGGATTTGCTGCAGAACTTTTGGAAGAAAGCAACCTAAATATGCTATTTATTGGTTAAGTTCAGTGAAGAGGCACTGAAAGAACATTTGGCTTGCATGAAGGAGAATACAAGTGTAAGAATCCAAATGTGACAATAACAAAGAAAAGTAGCTGCTTAGACCACAAAACCTTGTCGCAAATAAAACAACGTAGCTTTAGGGAAAGCTATTTTTCTTTGCTGCAAAGTTTCTAAATTAAAATCAGTCTTATTGCTATCAGCACAGTGATGCCCTTCTCTCTCTATCTCTCTCTCTCTCTCAACCTGCAGTTATATCTGCATACCAATCCTTACACCTTTGATAGTGAAAATCTGAGTTAAACCATCCTGGCTGACAAAGTAAAAAGAAATCATTTGAGTGGGATTCTTTAATGGGCTTCACTACCTCAAAAATAACTGAAGGGAAACAGACATTTTACACTAGCTAGTAAAAATGGGTACTCAGTCTACAGACTGCATAACAATTTTGTATTAAATGACATGTTAGAGACAGTCACATTGTCTAAAAGGTGCATTTCTGTAGATATGTGTACATGCAGAACTGAGGAGCAGCTGAGTCTACAGCTGCATTTGGAAAAAACTGAAGATTTTGGGTGATTAAATGTCCCATAGTTTGTGTCTTGGAATTTAGCTCCATGACTAAGGGAGGCTTCAAATTGATCCAATTTCAGTTATATAGGGTAACCCAGTTATAATCTGGATTCTTAACAGCAGTGCTTTTTCTTGATTTTCCTTGTGATGAACTGAGGCTGAATGATTATCAGTACCCTAACCCTAGAATTTGGCCAGGACTCCGGGACTAGCCTGGGATGGGGCAGAGAGGGACAAAAGAAATCAGGAGGGAGGCTGGCATTAATCTGGAAGGTCTCTGCAGCTAGAATATGATAAAATCACATGTGCACTTATGTTTACTGTATGTGGCAGCTCCTATTTGTAAATAGGGCAGGTCTCCTGCATAAAGCTGGTGTTATTATTCACACCCATAGAACAAACACCTGCACCCCCCCTGTTGTTGTCTTTAAAAACTCCAGCTGCTCATGAATATAGGGTCAGGGAGGGCCGGCTAAATGTTTCTCTGTGCTTTCTCTCCAGCACAGCCAGCAGAGCTGTTTCCTGTTCTTTGTTTCAAGGCTGGGGTTTGCGTCATACATTCCAAGTGGCATGTGTGTGCTCTTTCCTGTTTCAGGCTGTTTTCTGGTAGATCAGTAGCCTAGACCAGGCCATGGTCCCTGCCCCTAAAACTCCTCATCCCCACCCAGGGAGCTACCATGGCTCTACACAGCGATTGCTTAAGATGCCTATGTTATGTCATAATGAGAAGTCAGTTAACCTTTTTACAGACAGACTGCGCTCCACTGTGTTTATATGAGCAAATCGATACTTTTACCTTTTACATTTTTTCATTGTCAGATTGGTTTTAAGGAATTCCTGTGCATATTGGCAAGTCTAAAGGAGGTTGTTTTGTTTGTGTATTTGTAATTTTGTGAAGGTGGGTAAAGTGTTTCAGATAGGCATTTTGCCCAAGCTGACAATTTTGCATCAGCATTAGTACCTTAGAGTTGGCAAGACCAAGCATTATCTGAAAAATGTGGCCAACCCTTGTTCACATCACACAGGCTGCCCATGGCGGCTTGACCTGGGGGATAGAGGATTGGAAGCAGTCTTGGCCACCTGGGCAGAGTTGAAAGTCTTACATTTGTGTTTTGAAGAAGCGTTTAGACAAATTATTCTAGCAAAGCATACATTGGGAAAATCCCAGCATTATTTCACTTTAAGGACAAACATTAAATAGGATAATTTTTTAAGGACAGATTTTACTATATAGTAGATTTGATTTCCAAACCATTTTAAGAATAAAAAGTTTAAGGAAAAGAACTGGCAATAAGAAATTCACTTAATGATAGTTGGGAAAGATTTTTTGCAACTAGAAGGTGAATGCTCTTCTTTCTTCAATGACACATTTTTTGTGATTCCATTTTTAATATTCTGTCAGTTGTGCATTGGTGAATTTCTGGATTAACTGTTTGAAGCCTAACATAACAGATTATTTTTCTCTTAGTAAGCAATGGTTGGGAAAGAAAACTTTGGGAAAGTGTCTTTTTAAAACTTAACTTGAAGATTTTGCTTAAAATCTAAAGGAATGATATACGGTTCCCTACATGAATTCAAAGAGTTGCTGAGACAGCAAATCAGACTCTGTACTCCCAAAGTGATAATAGGATATTAGTTTTGAATATCACATCCCACCATATTCTTGCCTGATACATAAAAGCAAAGCATAAAATTATGATGTTTAAAAAAAAAAAAGTTACTGGGAACACTAATAACCTTTGAAAAACGATGGGGATCTTAGAAAATCCCAGTAAGATTTTTTTTCCTTTCTTCCTTGGGAGAAGCAACTTGTAGTATTAAGTTGACTATAGAACAAGAGGCCCTTCAACTGAAATTCATAAGAAAAACAAATTGAAGCAGGTTTTTTATTTTAGTCCCAAAATTGTTAACAGTCCAAGTAAGTTTGGTAAACAGAATCTTGATGTGACTTTCCCCAAGTAATTCTTTTCTCTTTGGTGGAGAGAGGGAGGTGGTTAATTGGATTGATTAGGATTTAATATATTCTATTAAAAAATTCTACAAGCTTTTATATGCTCTGTTTAATAGTTGAGGAAAATTATACTGATGTTACTACAGTTACAAAAGTAGGATAATTGTTTCATCTCTTGACCATGTAAATCATCCTAATTTTATTTCATTGTCTCCATTTCTCTTTAGATACTTGCCTTTCTTCATATTTCCAATACACACTCTTTCTATAAAATGGGAGCTTTCATAGGAAGCATTTCTTCCTCTGTTTTTACACCCAGTTGTATTTAAGGAAAAAAAAAATAAAGCAACCTATCCTTTAAATAGTAGGAATTACCTTGTAATTGGGCTTTCTGAAGTGCCTCATTTATCATTGGTTCTAGCCATATTTTATTAAAAAAAAATAAATCCCTAGAGTCTTAAAACAATTGATACTTGTTTGGCTAATAGGTAAGTTCTAGTGGCGATGCCTCAGAGTGAGTTAGAAGAGGATTGTGATGGTTTTAGCGTCTCATTTTCAAGGCTGATCTGTCCCTTTCTTAGGCCCAGACCCTGCTTCTCATCTTAAGTAGTCACGTGGAGCTCAGAGACAGGAAACCAGACAGTGTCTGTCCTGATAAGAGAGAGCATTGTCTAAAGAGGTAGCCCGGCTCCCCCACCCCAAACTCTCTTTCCTTGAAATTTAGCAGTAATAAAAAGAGACACAGTGCTATAGACAGTTTCTGAACCAGAGCTGGAAGTGTTTTCTCCCAAAGCAAAAACAAAAACCAAAAAAAGTACATACACCTTTTAACTTGCCCTGGTGCTAGCTCTGGAATGCAACCATCTTCAGTGGGAC